TTCAGGGTTCGGGTCTGGAAGAGGAGCCGCACACAAATGAAAGAGAAAAGACACGAGATAATTTGGAAATGTTGGGGGAACAGGCGGCAAGTCCAACTCAGGAGGAAGGACTTCCACTGTGCTCAGGCCTCACCAAGCTTTTTATAGTGAGAGGTAAACAAGGTAGTGGTTACCATAGTTACACAGTTCTTGTGAGTTTCACTTGTTTTGACCATGGTTACACTTCCTGCACTTCCTCAGCCCCTTAGCTTCCCAGATAAGATCTTCTAGGGAGTGTTATAAGGTCAAGCCTAATTATGCTAAGAGGACTGTGCCCTCTAAGCTAGGACTTTTTTGTGACTTTGCCAACAGGTCAGTCGGAGGCTTAACCCTATATCAGTTTCCCACACTGACCCTTTGAAGTGTATATCTCCACCTCGCCTCAGGACAGTTTGTGTTAATGAAAAGCATGGGGTCCTGAGACAGGAGATCTTAGTTTCTTTAGCTAGGCTCCTCTGACCCCCAAATGCCTTTCAAAATTATGCGTCGTCTCTGGACTCCTTATTAAGTTATGCATAGCCCCTTCTCCAGATTGCTGAACCCTTCTAGATGCTGGAACAAGAACCCCAGCAGAAGAGTATTCATGTGGTTCCTAAAGGCCTACTGTGTGCTTGGCAATGTGCGGAGTGACTGACATATGCTATCTCCTTTAAACTCAATCTCTAAGGTCAGGGCTGGGACAAAGAAAAGGAGAGGGACTGGGAGGTGGTGGAGGAGGCTCTGATTGGGATGTTGGGAAAGGATTCCAGGAAGAAAGAAGCTGGAGAGTGAGGAGGTTTGGTAAGCGTGGTGGGGCTTGGAGGGAGGGCATTCCTGGCAGAAGGCATGGCAAGGGCAAATGCCATGCTGGCCGTCCTGATCAGCCTAGTTGTTGCCCTCAGGCCCACAGTGACAGAGAGAAATCAGTGAAGACAATCTTGGTTTATCGCCTATAAAGTGGGGATAAAAAAAAAATTGTTTCCTGGAGAACTAATGGTCCGAGGGCAGTGCTGACCCCTTGCAAATTTTGGTACCTGACCTGCAGGCCTGGAGAAAGTAAAGCAGTTGGATTGGCCTGGGGAGGGCTGGTAATAAAAGCAATTGGATTGGCCAGGAGAATGAGATGCGGGGAGATCTGTGGAGGGGGGGGGGGGGCAAGGGGGAGGGGGGATAGGAGCTCCAGGCTCGAAGGTGGGGTCTCAGCCCACAGTTCCCAGAGTGACCAGCAGGGACAGCACTGGGCCAGGGGGTGACCCTATGGCTGGGGATGGCCTGGAGGCAGGGATCCTCCGGAAGCAAATTAACTCATTTAAAAAATGCCTGTCCTGTGCCAGACCCTGGGCAGAACTCCACAAATATTCACCTGCTTAATCCCCATAATCCATTTTACCCAGGGTGGGATTATTCTGGTATTTTTATTTATTAATTGTTGTATTCAGAAGTGGATACAACTCTAACTCTACTTTTGCACCCACCCTGTCGATAGGGAGATTGAGAATAAGAACATTAAGTCATGCACGCTAGGTCACACAGTAGGCAAATGTCAGAGCTGAGATTCAAACCCAGGCAGCCCAGCTGGGCCCCTTAACCCTTACATTCTACTGGCTCTCATTCTCCCAAATCTCCTAAAATGATAGTTTTAAAAAACAAAAAAAGCAAGGCCTCCCTCGCAATTATTGAGATCTTGCTATGTACCTTTTATGCCATCTCTCCAAGCATGTACAATCATTTCCATTTTACAAATGAAGGAACTAAGGCACAAAGACGTGACACTGGGAGCCAAGGTGGTGCTATATCCAAGTGAGAATCCCAGGAGCATGTGAGACTCATCTACCCTTAAGCCTGAGTTCACCTCAGGGGAGTGGCCAGTGGGAACCCCAAGCCTCTGCTCTCTCTGACCTCCAGACCCTTGATGCCACCACTGCCCCTAGCCAAGCTCCTCAGTGTGCCCCAACTCAGGGCTGCACCTTCATTCATGCCACCCCTCTGAGTCCTCCTGTATCACCCTATGACTGGAGATACCGTGGACTCACACCCAGCCTGATGAGAGGGCTGAGAACCTTCACATAGGCCCTCAATGATTTTATCTTTGACAGGAGGGAAACCGACAGATCAGAGAAGCCAAGGCATTTGCCCAAACTGAGCAGGCATAAGAGGCACAGCTACACTTGAACCAGCCTCTCGTGCCTCCAGGAATACCATTAAGTCACTGACAAGCAAGGCTGTGTGAGCCCATTGGTGTCTGGGGATCCCAAGCACCCCAGGGTCTTATAAAAAACGTTTGAGTCCTGACTGGTGTGGTTCAGTTGGTTGAGCATCGTCCTGTGCACCGAAAGGTCACTGGTTCAATTCGTGGTCAGGGCACATACCCAGCTTTCCGGTTCAATCCCAGTCGTGTTTCTCTCTCAATCCCTACCCTTCCTCTCTTTTTAAAATCAATAAAAACATATTTTTTAAAAACACAAACATTTGAGAACCCAAGATATGTACACACTTTGGCTCCAGAATGCAAAAGGAGAACAATGTCCAGGTGAATCCATGTTTAATTACATTCAGGAGCAGGTTGTCAGCTTTGGCGGGATTAACATCATTGCATCTAGAAACAGGCCAGACATCTACTCAAGAGAGTTACCTGTGGCCAGTTGATTTCTAAAACAAAATTATAAATTACAAGAATACCTAACTGGTGAGCAGTTAGTGTTAGGGGCAGAAGTAGAATTGTGGGGACTAGCCATAATTATAAGAAACTAGAGGCCCGGGGCACGAATTTGTGCACAGGTGGGGTCCTGCAGGCCCACCCTGATGAAGGCCTATCGGGGCCAGGGTGGCAGGGGCAGGGGGGG